CAATATTCTCTGTTGTTTTAGCTCAGTTTGGTCCAATATTTGGTCCAACATTCTCTGTTGTTTTAGCTCTGTTTGGTCCAATATTTGGTTCAATATTCTCTGTTGTTTTAGCTCAGTTTGGTCCAATATTTGGTCCAACATTCTCTGTTGTTTTAGCTCTGTTTGGTCCAATATTTGGTTCAATATTCTCTGTTGTTTTAGCTCAGTTTGGTCCAGTATTATTCTCTGGTGTTTTAGTCCTTGTTTGGTCCAACATTTGCTCATTTATTTTCTAGTGTTGTGGTTCTTGTTTGGTCCAATATTCTGTTGTGTTTTAGCTCATTTTTTATTGAGCTCTCAGCTGTCATGGCGTCTGAGTAAAGTCCGTCCCACGGTCTGTAGAAAACATGAGTGAGTGGACCTTGAGTTAGGATTATTTTTTCAAACCACTGAAATTAAATTTTAGGAGAAAAAAGTAGTCTGAGTCACCATGCTGTGTCAGCCAATCAGGACTCAGCTTTCTCTTATCAGGTCGTTCATGTTGGAGGTTTCGTCCAGTCAGGTGAGTTCTTCTTCTTCAGTGGTTTAATCCTCCAGCCTGCACATCAGCAGGAACACATACACAAAACACACTGATGCTGACTGTGTGTGTATGAGCTGACATACAAACATGCTACTACACAGATGTGCTCTTGACACACACACACACACACACACACACACACGCGCACACACTGTTTACTGTCATATTAACTTGAGCTTTATAATCCTGCTGCCTGTGAGATTAACACCCTGACTCTTCCTCTGTCTTTTTGCTCTTTCATCATTTCTCCGTCTTCTCTCTCTCGGTGGACCAAACAAACATGGACACTGTGACTTACTTGAATCTTTACTTTGCCACCATGGCGTCTACGTTCATCACAAACTGATCCAAAATCTGTACCGATTTAAATGATTTCAAATCTTTAGCTTCAGCTCACTGTTAGTGGAAGACACTTAACAGTATATGAAGCTCTGTGATTGGACTTTAGTTGGTGAAATGCATTTTTGGAGTCGTAGTTGACTTCTCTCCTTCTCTGACTCCTCTGTCTCCTCAGGGAAGGCCTATGCTCCGGAGTTTTATTACGACACCTACAGCGCTCTGTGGCAGAACAGACCTCGAGTCTATGGCTTCAAGCTGCAGTGGACACAGATGGAGCCCAACGCCGTGGACCGAATCCTGGCCTACAGACTCGGTATCAGACAGGTCAGTACACAGTGTCATCAACAAACCTCATGCTCCGAAATCTAATTGATCCCATTACATAAAACATGTTCAAGAAGACTGTTAAGGGTTGAAAAGTTGGGGCGTCGGTGGCTTAGTGGCAGAGCAGGAGCCCCATGTACAAGGCTGTGGCCCAGGTTCGACTCCAGCCTGTGGCCCTTTGCTGCATGTCACTCCCCCTCTCTCCCCTTCACACTTGTCTGTTCTATCAATTAAAGGCTAAAAAATGCCCCAAAAAAATCTTTAAAAAAAAGGGTTGAAAAGTCATGATAGTAGGAGAAACAAACACACACTCAAGTGAAAATCTTAAAGTAAAAAATGATGATTAATAAAATTATACAAAAATAAATAGATATAAAATAAAAATCTAATAGTCAACCAAAAAATGAACCTAGAGTTTTAGACCCTTTGGGGACCCAGTGAAGTTAAAACCCTGTGAGGACCTTGCAGAGTCATCGATCTTGTGAGGACCTATTAGAGTTTTAGGGGCTTTAGCCTGGTCCTTTTTCAGTTAATGACTGTGAGAAAATTTGTGTGAAATAATCTGTTGCTTGAGATGTATGTAACCGGAATAAAAATCATTAATTTATTCATTCATTCAATATAAACACTGGATAATGACATTTAAAAACTATACAGATTTATACAGAAAATGTCCAACAAGTCAGCAATCAGGTCGCGCTCCTGGTAAATATCGGGGAAAAATCATAATAATTATAAATTTAATAATTATTATATGATTAATTATAATAAATATGATAAAAAAGTTTTTTGTTTTTTTTTCATTTTTGTTCAGCCCATGTACACATACAGCTCCAAATAGGAGGCAAGCAATCACAGTACAATGACCAGAGAGCCATGATCAACACTATGGCAGAAATTACATAAGAGGATTGTTTTTGAGAAAAAGTATGAATATACTGTACATAAATAAAGAAAAAAAATCTGAATATAGAAAAAACATTAAACCTCACAATATAGAACAATAAACATCATGCTGACAAAGTGCACAGAGCATCAGGGCTCTAGTACCTCGGCGTCCCTATCGACCAGATAATGTCTTAAAATATCAGACTATTCCTGTGATGGCCCTTTTATGGTTCAGATTCTGACTTTGATACACAATGATTAATTTTGATTTAATCTCATCTAAGCTATCAGATAAGAAAACAACGATATATTTGATTCCTTCATGATTCAAACATGACAACAAAAATCTGAATCACATTTTAATATCAACAATTCAAAGCAGAAAGTATGTTGGTTTTAATTTACTGATTAGATATAGAAACCAGACTGTTTTTATGACGCGGGTAATAAGATTTTATTAATCTGATAACTTTCCGTGTTCATGTATATGAACTGTTATGAGTGGTTTGATGTCTGAAGTCATAAATGTGACAAAACATGAGAATTAAGTCTTTGTTTTGTTTTGATGTCGTTGGTTACAGCTGATAAAACCTGATGAGGCAATAAAACTGGTCCACAGGGTTTATGAGCCAGTAAAAATATTCAGATTAAACTCATCAGAGGAATGTGTGTGTGTGTGTGTGTGTGTGTGTGTGTGTGTGTGTTAATATGCAGTAAAAATGAGTCATTGTTTAATGAAAAATGATCATATCTGATAGACAAGCACATAAACAGCCCTTATCATTAAAAATCTGTGTCAGTCTCATATGAATTCTTTAATATGAAAACAGACTGTTGCTGCTCTCAGGTCAGTTGTTAAAGAAACTTCAGGTATTTGAACCAACAACCTTCCACCAACAAACAGCTGCTTCTAGAACCTAAATATGACATTGTCAGCCCACACATTCACAAACATCCACCTGTCAGGGTGCATAAACTTAATGCTAACACTGCTTCCATTGTGTATTATTAGCATTTCACTTACAGGAGGAAACTGTCACAGTGGATAAAGAAAACTCACCGATAATGAAATATATCCACACATGTTCAAGCTACAATCTCTGCTTTATTAAAGAATTTTCTAGGTAAATTAACTTTGAAAAATACAGTTTTAGACCCTGTGAGGATCTAGTAGGCTTTCAATCCTTGTGAGGACACAGTAGACTTTAAGACCTTGTGAGGACCTCATAGAGATTTGGACCTTGTGGAGATCTTGTAGAGTTTTAGATCTTCTGAGGACCTAGTGGAGTTTTAGAACTTGTGAGCATGTAGTAAAGTTTTAAACCTTGTGAGGGCCTAGTAGAGATTTTGACCTTTTCAAGGATCTAGTAGACATACAGACCTTATGAGGACCTATTGGAGTTTTAGACCTTTTAAAGACCTAGACTTTAAGACCTTGTGAGGATAGTAGACATTTTAGACCTTGTAAAGACATAGTAGAGTTTTAAGCCATATGACAACCCAGTAAGGTTTTAGACCTTGTGAGGACCAGTAGAGATTTCAAACTTGTGAGGACCTAGTTGAGTTCTAGATCTTATAAGGGTGTTATAGACTTTTGGACCTTGTGAGGACCCAGCAAAGTTTTAGACCTTGTGAAGACGCAGTAGAGTTTTAGACCTTTTGTAGACCTAGTCGACCTTTAGACGTTGTGAAGATGTAGTAGTTTTAAGCCTTGCGACGACCCAATAAAGTTTTAGACCTTGTGAGGACCTAATAGAGTTTTAGACCTTGTGAGGACCTAGTTGAGTTCTAGGTCTTATAAGGGTGTTATAGACTTTTGGACCTTGTAAGGACCCAGCAAAGTTTTAGACCTTGTGAAGACGCAGTAGAGTTTTAGACCTTTTGTAGACCTAGTAGACCTTTAGACGTTGTGAAGACGTAGTAGTTTTAAGCCTTGTGACAATCCAATAAAGTTTTAGACCTTGTGAGGACCTAATAGAGTTTTAGACCTTGTGAGGACTTGTTTTGTTCCTCACTTCTTCAAAGGGCTGTTTTAAGGTTCAGACTTGGTTTCAGGGTTAAAGTTTGGTTACTAAAGTAATCTTAATTTGCCCCTTCCAACGAATCAGAATCCAGAACGTTCTGCTGCCATGGTCTAATACTGCTGTATTATTGAAATCAGCCCACTATAGTTTAAAACAGATCTTTTGACTGCAGCTTTGTTGGAAAATCAAACATGCAACCATTCTAACATCAGGCAGCCATATGACTGTCCAGCATTATTGAATCAGGTAATTAACAGAGTGTTGTGACCTCAAACTACACGTCAGACGACAACTGATCCGGCACAAATTAGGCCTGTTTCTAAAATGAAGAAGGGAGCAACCAATTCAGATTTTAAATCCAGCTGAATCCATACAGTGCCTGTTATATCTTATTCTTGTTAAATGTTTAGATGTCGTAGATCAGCATCTGGAGAAAATAAAAAATTTTAGGTTTTTATAAAGTCTGATGAAAAAAACTGTTTGACTAACTATAGAATAGAAATATAATGTTTCACACAGTGCTGGACATGATGCTGAGAGTGTACCTGAGGCTCCTGCAGCATCAGCATCGGCCTGGCTTCAGAGAATGAGGAAGAGGAGGGGGGGGGGTTTGTTGCCATGGCAACCCGCCTGTCTTTTCATTCATACAGAGCAATGTGCTGCAGAGGGAGAAGGAGCAGAGAGGAAGTGCTGATGGGACAGAAAATGATAAGACGGAGAAGAAGAACAAGAGAGAAGGAGGGAGAGAGAGTAGCGAGAGGATGATGATGATGATGATGCAGAGAGACCACAGGAAAAATAAGGAAGACAACAAGTTTACAGGAGAAGTGAGACAGAGGTGAGATGGCAGTCAGGAGAGGAGGGGGAGGAGGAGGATGAAGTATTTATTGGAGTATAAAATAACAGAATCTAGTTGATGAATAAAATATCACCCTCAGCTCTGTATTTTGATGAAGAAAGAAAACTCTGGTCCGTCTCTGCTGAATTTATGTGGATGTAAGGGCTGTTACGAGAACAAGGCCTTCAGACAGAACCGGTGTTCATCAGGAATATCTCAAGAAAATGAGACACCGTCAAGGTCCTCTGATCGCTCTGTCTGGACCTTCTCTCTTGTCGAAGAGTGCAGGAAGGTCACAACAACTCTTTTGAGTTATTCAACAGATGGTTTAACAGTGATTCAGCAATGAAACAAATACATGAGAGCAGCCATTAACACAGCAGTGAAAGAGATGAAGAAATGTGAGTTTATGGGAGAAGAAACAGTGGCGGTGTTTTGTCCATTTATAATAACACTGTACTCAACAAGATAAAGGGAGGATTCAAAGTTTTTCAAGTCTGTCTAAAACAGTAGTCAGTCATATGAATTAAAATGGTTTTTGCTTACTGCAGTAATTCCTCCTGCTCATAGGGGACATTAAAACATCCCTTCATAAAGCCTTTCAATGTAAGTGACCGAGAGCAGATCTACAGTCCTCACTCTGGGTTAAAATATTTGAACAATAGGCTTAAGTCAATCAAACCATGTGTTCATTTTCCTAAGTTAGTTTTAGTACGAGTTCCCCTTTACATATAAACATGCCGTGTATATTAACCTTTCGAGATGAGTGCATTTGTTTGCATATTATTTAAATAAAGGGAATCATTTCCCCCTCCATGCACATTCATTTTCATTATTTGTTTGATTTCAATCAGATAAACAAAATTCAAAATTTCACATTGCATACACAACTTATCAGTCCATGAATATCAGTGTGTCAGTGGAATTAACTTTAACGGACAGTTTGGATGTTTTGAAGAGGGGTCATATGAGGTACTTATCCATAGTCAGTGTTTTACCGACAGTAGATTGCATTCAGGATACCTCCAGTTTGGAGAAGCAGACTGGAGTACTGACATGGGAGCTAAGCAATGCTCTGCTGTGGACAGGGGCAGCAGCAAAACAGATTTTCTGGGTTCCCACAAAAGTTTAAACAGTCTTAAAAGGCATTGAATTCATTAATTTAAAAAAGAGCGTTACTGGTCTTAAAATGTCGTAAATCAAAAGTCAAAGTCGGTGGAAGTAGGATTTTATGAATTGTTTTTTTCTGGCATTGCTCTGTAAAATCTCACAATAATTGAAACATTTTTAAAAGATAATTTCCAGTATGCCCTTTTGCATTAATGTCACACAGATTGAGATACTGTAACAAACAACTCATTTTGTTTCCGGCCGTGATGCTCAGAGCAGAGGATCCTCTGCCTGTTTGCTAGCTGTCACTGTACCCTGGACGACATGGCTTCCCCATTCAAATTCAATTAAAATTGGCTATTTAACCAAGATTTCGCAGCATGGCTGAAACTGGTATAAGGGAATACATATAAGCTTGTTGTACTTTTAGATTTAAGGTCGTGGAACCCTACATGTGGAGTGAGAAACATAAAATTTCCAAGAAAACTCGCCAACAAACGCCACATACTTCTCAGTGCTGTTCTACCCTCGTTCAACCATTCAACAAGAAAATCATGATTGTGTTACAATAAACATTTGGGCAAAAATGTTCAAAGGTTAATACTTGGTGTAGACTTAAGGTTAGGATCAGGTCATGGTTATAGGTTAGTCTTTATTATGAATGAACATGATTTAATGCTGCGTCCTTATAAGTGACCTAAACGAGTGTTTTGTGTCTGTGTGTGTCAGATGGGTCAGTCTCGCTGGTGGGAGCAGGAGATTCCCATGGAGGGAAACATCCAGAAGGGGGAGCTGTTGACCTACAACCTAACCGAACTCATCAAACCTGAGTCCTACCTGGTCCGCCTCACCCCCATCACCCGCTACGGAGAGGGTGACGCAACTGAACGCATCATTACGTACAGCGGTATGTTGTCTTATCTCGTACTCATGAGTGTAGACAATAAATTAAAATCAAATACAAACTGGTGGTTAAATAATGACTGAACATTTAAGGTGGGGAGTTGTACTATAATGCCTTATATATTCAGTTTAATGTCCATCAGTACAACAGACAGAGTCATGTCTGAAGCGGGATTTATACTTCTGCATCGAATAGACACAGAGTCTACGCCGTAACCTACGCTGTAACCTGACATGCGCCTCCCCAGAAATGTAACTACGTGTCATAGCGAAGCAGACCTCCTGTTTATTTTTGTAAACTGACAACCATTTCCCTCAGTGGAAACAAAGCAGTCATTTGATTTAATTTCACAGTTAAGAAACAATAAATTGTGAAAACAATAAAGCCTCCACGAAATAGTATTTTAAGTCTTTAAACAGAGGAAATCTCTGCTAGCCACTAGGCTAATTTATAAAATCTAAAATGCCATACACTTGTGCTAATAACGTTAGCATGTTGTGTTTGTCTGGAAAATGTGTTGAGTATGAGACAGTTGTTTTGTCAGTGAACCTTGTGAGTTGTAATGGAGACGAATTTTGTAACATTACCTTTGTTAAATGTTGCTGTTGTCCCTGGCTTCGTATGAGTAGAGGAAATCACCGCCGCTAGCCACTAGGCTAATTCATACAGTGTAAAATGCCATAGGCTTGTGCTAATAGCATTAGCATGTTGTATTTGTGGGGAAAATGTGTCCAGCGAGTTATAGTGAAGTCAATTTGTGTACTTGTGTTTGAAATTGTCTCTATTAAGTCATGTTTAATGTGTGTTTAATGTGTGTTTTGAACCAACTTAACTTTACAGCACCTCACAGAAACCTCTGCCTTAGACTAGTGTATAAGTATAAAGTCTAAATGCAGACAGCAACACAGCGACTGTGTTCACATCATAGACTGTAAAAATAATGGACATAGGCACTACTACCAGCTGACACTGGGTGAGGGTTCACCCTGGACAGGTCACCAGACTATCACAGGGCTGACACATAGAGACAGACAAACATTCACACTCACATTCACACCTACGGACAATTTAGAGTTATCAATTAACCTGCATGTCTTTGGACTGTGGGAGGAAGCTGGAGCACCTGGAGGAAACCCACAATGACACGGGGAGAACATGCAAACTCTGCACAGAAGGGCTCCCCATCCTGGGTTCGAATCCCCCACCCGAACCAGGAACCCTCTTGCTGTGAGGCGACAATGCTAACCACTGCACCACCGTGCTGCCAAATAAAAAAAACTTAGAACATGATCAGATACAAAAACTGGAGAAATTAGGAATAAATTTCTCTCTGACAAAATAAAAAAATAATCTTTTGAATAAAGTCAGTAAATATTTACAGTATATTATCTAATGATTTCTATTTGTTATGTCCCAGAGTGATTGAGACCTAAATATGAGATTTTACAGTTGTTTTATATCCTAAACATGTTTGTTCATTTCATGCAGTGTTGTTGTGAGGTTTCTGTCTGTTGCCACGCTGCTCCTCTATTTATATGAAAAAACAATAAAACAAAAACGCTGGAAAAACAAGAGAACAAAAGAAATGTTGAGCTGTCACACAGAAATCCTGAAGGGAATCTAAAAAAAAAAACAAAAAAAAAACACAAAACTGCAGAGAAATGTCAAAATAGGAAAAACACAAAACCACCAGAAGAGAAGAGAAAGAGGACAAACTCACAGCGGGAGGCGGCGACACACAAACACACAACACAAACCAGGAGAGACGATCTGAACATGAACTCGTCTGCTCTGTGATGTTGAGTTTTGACAGACTGTCAGTAAACGCCTCGCCTCCTCCTGATCCTCACATTAACTCCTTGCAGCAAACGCAGCCAGGGTTCAAACAGGAAGTTCAGACGTCTCATCAGCTGATGTTGTGAAGGCAAACACCTCCACCTGTCAGCGCTTGGCTCGGTCACATGACCCTCTGCGGGTCATCACCTGACATCTGTCAGACATCAGTGCAGCTGTTTGTTCTTCAGTCAGAATAAATCAACACATTTATCATCATACTGTACGTGTCCTGCTGCCTTCAGGCGCCTGCAGGGATTTAATGGACAGAAGAAGAAGCTTTATAGACGATTGTACCTGACATACACAGGTACAGCTGAAAGGATTAGATGATTAATCAATTAGTCGATTGACAGATAATGAAGGTGAAATTATTTTGTTGGTGTGAAGTCATTTTCCATGTTAAAAACATTTCATGGTTCCAACTGTACAAACCTTTCCTTCAAATAATGCCAGTTAGGGACGTCAGATTTGGTTAATTATGCTGTTGGTTGCCTGACATTCATTATCTGGTAACTAACCGGTCAGCTTTTAAAGAAAAAAAAACAAAAACATAAAATGACGTGAAACTTTTAGACTTTTAGTCCGGCACTCATTGACTCAGTGAACGCCGCATTTCAAAGCGCTGTCCATTTAGAGTCGGCAAAATTTTCAATGTTTTGTGATGTTAATGTTTTGCCTTTTATTTTATTTTATGTTTGCTTTGCTTACAAACAGACAGTCACCTTAACACATGGAAACATAGTGCCTACAGCACTCCAGTCACTCCTGGTTAGCAAATGTTAGCCTAATGTTAGAAACACAAAAACGCAAATGGCCCTGCATGAGTTAGTGTTCAGTTTGTCCGTTCTGGGCAACTGTAGAAACATGGTGGTGCAACATGGCAGACTCTGTAGACGAGGACCTGCACCATGTGTAGATATAAACATCTCATTCTAAGGTAACGAGAAAACGCTTCTTATTTTCAGCTGATTATACGTGAAAGAAAATATTCTCATTATATTAAATTTTTGCCAGTACATTCCCCTAAATCCTACACTGGACCTTTAATGGAGAAAATAATCAGCAGATTAATCCATCATGGAAATAATCATAAGTTAATGGTTAAAAGTGAGCTCCACCTCAACAACTACAACAGTTAAATCCTGCTCATCATATATATAGATAGATCATATATAATAGTATAACAGTCACTTTCACTGCAGGACTTTTACTTGTTTCAGACTCTTGTTTTAATATTTTTTACTGCAGCAAAGGATCTGAATACGTCCTCCACTGCCGCTGTTCAGTGTGCTCTTGTTGATAGAATCACTGAAATAGCACTCGTGTTCTGTTTGTGTCACCTCATCTGAATGAGCGTCCCACCTGTTCACACCGCTCCTCTCACCTGGACACCAAAATGCCACACAGACGGGCAAAGAGCATTTCAAGGGACGGCCATTGAATTCATTTTTACCTGTAACGATTTATATTTATATTCATATAAATCTGATATTTATGTGTTCTGGCTCCTGCTGGAGAGTTCGTCTGATAACCGGAGCTGTTGGTGTGTGTGTGTGTGTGTGTGTGTGTGTGGCTTCCTGTCTTCACACTGTCCCAGATCTGTAGCACTAACTCAAAACTAGCGCTGTTAACACGTTGTGACATCACACACCACACCTCCTCTGCTCTGGAGTGAGGCCGAGCCTGCAGGACACACACACACACACACACACACACACACACACACACACACACGTTTAAGGAACATTTTACAAATCCTTCATCAGTGTTTAAATTGATTTCCCTCCTACAGGCGGCCGTTAGTTTTTAACCTGCAGAGAGAAAATAAAAATCAGAGTTGAGTCAACTTTGTGTTTTAGTTAAAGATACATCATCGTGTGTGTGTGTGTGTGTGTGTGTATGTAAATGCTGCAGGCTGTTGTCTTCACACACAGCTGTAAAAGGTCATGTAGTCAGTAAATTAACATATTCTGAGGCTGTGAACTCGTTTCTCTGCAGCACAGTGAATCAAACACGAGGTTAATGTCATCGTACCACTGACGGTGTGTTTATATTCTGTCAGATTTGAGTCACAGAGAGAGAGAGTCTCCAATTCTGTTGTGTTAAAGGATTATCTTGGTTTATTGCAACTTGGATCTTATTTTGTAGTAAACAGGAAGCAGACGTTTTCATTCATGTTACTGTGGCATCTAGACTTACAGTAAACGGGTGTGTCATGATAAACAAAGTGAAGATATGGTAACTGGAAACAGGCCTGATCTGTAAAGTGACGTTTCAGATTGATGCACCAGACATGAAGGAGGGGAAGACGATGATGACGATGTGTGTTTTTGTGTTGCATTTGTTTTATTTTCCTATTTTCCAACTAAAACATAATCACTTGTTTTACATCTATAGGCACAGAGAATCAGTGTTCGTGATAAAATACTTGAAAACGAACAAAAACTATACAAACTTTTCTGTATGTGTTAATCTGCAATAATTTGTAACAGTTAAGATCCTTTTGTCTTAAGCTTGACAATCAGTACAATGCAAATCCAGCCAAGCCCTGTGAATTCTGCGTGACCTTGCAATTTTGTCCTTTCACAGCAACTTTACCGCAAATTTGACTATTTAAAACAAGCGAAGTTTAATTTCATTGTGGAGCTGCGTGCAGTGTATTGATTGGCTCAGCCCTCTTCTGTTTTTATCATGAGACTATTGCAGCTCTGCGCTGGGGACAGAGTCACACACACGTACAATGACGGGCTAACTGTTAGCATCACACGGCTAACATTAACCAGCCGTTATTGACGATGATAGCCATTACTGCTGTGTTAACTCATGCTAATTGGGCAGAGAGAGCAGGGCAGATCCTTCAGCTCTCAACTCTGTGGGCCCCCTCCCATCCACCCCCCACCATTACAAATATATTGTAATGCTGTGGCAAACACTGAATGCTCATGATGATAAGCTCTGAAACCAAGCACATCAACCAAGCAACCAAACAAGACACATCATCACACCATTATTATATGGTGTGATGATGTGTCTTACATACATTACAGAAACTTCTGTGAAACAAGGCCCAGGTCGAGTTCTGGTTCAGGGATTGAGGAGAAATGATTAAATAGGATTTACCAGTGTCCTCACATTGAAGGTCTGTGTCGTGGTCCTCACAATGATACCCGTACAAACACACATACACACACTCAGACAGCACCAAGAGCTCATCAATTAGTGCTGGTTGATAACGAAGCACGAGCTTGTTGCCAAATGACGCAGCAGCTGTTCACACAGTTTCCAACAGCTGCACTGAGAGCGTGTGTGTGTGTGTGTGTGAGAGAGAAACATGCGGTGTAATTACCTTTTGCTCTGAAAATCAGATTAAAAAACAGCTGACTGTGTCAAACCTGCTGCTGGTTTGATTTCGCCTCTCTGCTTCCTGTTTTATGCTGAAAGAAAACGTATGCTTCCCGTTTTAGCCTGAGAGAGAACTCCAGTTTCTTGTTTTACACTGAAAGAAAAGTTATTCCTGTCTTATACTGAAAGAACCTGAAAGAAAACTTATGCCTATTTATTGTCTTGAAAACTCATTCATTTTATTTTGCTGACATCAAGACACATCAATATGAGATTTCAGGGCCAATTGCAACAACCCAAAATGATCTGTTTTTTATAGACGATAGAATATTATTAATATTAATTAAACAATAGAAATGTGAGGAGACGTATTTATCTAAAATTTCATTATCAGAACAAAAACAAAGAACCTATGGAGAGCTGTTCTCTGACTTGATGAACTAACAGAGTTTTTGTTTTTTGTCCCTCCACAGCTCCTGTTAATCCACATCTCAGTAAGTACAACTCAACATAAAACTCATTAAGTCAAAATTAAAGGTTTAATCAGCTGTAATTTGTGTTAAGAAAGCCGCTCATAATAAAAGAATATTGTTTTATATGTCATTTTTGCATGTGTGTGTTTTTAGGGGAGTTCCAGTGTGGCTTCGAGGACGAGGCGTTGTGTTTGTTCTCTCAAGACAAAACAGACGAGTTTGATTGGACGCGTCACAGTGCCGCCACACGAGACACCAAATATACCCCGAACACCGGACCGAGCTCCGACCACACCGGCTCCAAGCAGGGTACACACACACACACACACACACACACACACACACACACACACTCACACTGAAGACAATAAGACTTAAGCCACAACCTTTGTTTAATCAATAAATCATTTATTTGTCACATGGAATTATAAAAGGTAAAACTCTAGTGACATGTAATCCTGTTGGCTTCTTTAGCTTTCATTGAAATTTATTCTTTGGCTGTCTCATTGATACACACACTGTTTCATCCCTGTTACTACATCCCATGGCAGATTAAAGGCGAGATCACTCTGTCATCCTATTACATGATCATATTTACCAGCTGCCACTGCCCGTCAACAAAAACAAAGACAACTATGGTTAAATGTGATAAGACCAAAGGACTGGACGGAGGCCATCATCAAAAATGCTCACATGTGCAGCGCACACTTCATATCAGGTTAGGGAAAAAGTATTTCCTGTTGTAGGGATGAATAACGTTATGTGTATTAAGGGTTATCATGTCCACCTCATCAGAAACTGGGGAGGGATTAAGAGGAAGATTGGATTTCTCTGGGACGCTAACTTTTTAGCACATTAGCTAACGTTAGCTTCCATAGCAAAACAAACAAGTGTGGTCCTCCTTTGTAAGATTGGCTTCCTGTGACATCATCCATCCACTGAGTGAGAGCATACGGGTCGGCCAGTCTGGTCCCGTTGGTCAGTGTTTACTTATTCAAGTAACACTGGTGGTCCCGTAGAGTGAGTGACCTGACATGGTGCGTTCATATATTCAGTCTGACGCTCTACACTAGAACGAGAACGCTGTTGGTGCAGTTTGTGCCAGAGTGCGCTGCGACACTCAGAATGAGTATTTCTGAATCATCTTCCTCCGTTGTCTGAAACAAGCCAACAGAACTTGCAAGTTAGCGCTAGCTAATGTCTGTGGAGAATTGTTTTGCCTCCAGCTAAGCCCCGCCCACCAAAAAACATCATACTGTTTACTAACAGTAAAAAGGGTCTATTTGATGGAGAGGTAAATGATAAAATCAATACAGTTTTACATCTGTATGTTTAATATGCAAACAGCAGATGGTTAGCTTAGCTTAGCATATAGACTGGAAACATATGATTGAAGAAGACAAACAGTTTTTGACCATGCTCTGATAAAAATATTTTTTTAGGCTGTATTTGTTTTAAGTTTATGACAAAACTTATTGGACGTTATGGACATTACGGACACTGATGATCGATAAACATATGATGATTTAAAATATTGTCGAGGCCAGTAATCATCTTCTGAGTACTCGTCTAAACACTTCAAGCCACTAGCAGACAGTCGCAGCTAAAGTACAGGACTTAGTCACTACAGAAGGAAACAGTGCGCCTGTTTCTGTCCAAAGGCAACAAAACCACCTCCCAGCTCTTTACTCAGTTAGCTTTAGAGGAGCTGGTAGGTTGGTTTTGTTCTCTGTTTGGACAGAGCCAGGCCAGCAGTCTTTTTATGCTAAGCTAAACTAACCAGCTGCAGCCTTATATTTAATAGACAGATATGAGAATGGTATCAATTTAAAGACATGACTCTGAGAGAGAAACAGAGAAAAGAGGAGTTCACTAATAAACACTTCCTTTATCCATCATTTCTGTGTCAGTCTGAGACATTAAATAAACTGATTTCCATTCATGTATCTGAGCTTGTTTAACAGGAAACCATATAGGAGCCACATTAACAGCTGATGTTCAGACTCCTTCGTGGCGTTCTGTTCGTTCTGAGGTTTTATTTGTTGGTGTGTTTTTCATGTGGTTCTGTCAGCAGCAGCTCTGACAGGAGGAGGAGGAGGAGAGCTGAGGATTAAAACTGACACTGAATGTTAACCATGCCGGACTCAGGAGACGAACATTGTACTGTCTCTGATTCGTGGCGTTCAGGATGGGCGACGCCCACTCTGAGCACGATAAGAGGCTGAAAATAAAAAGCAGCAGCGAAGCAGCCGGAGGAGTCCTTGCTGACTGAATGAGAGCAGTTTGACGGACACACTGCAGAGTTTTGTTTCTGCTGTGGATGAAATAGTTTGTTTCTACTGTAAAAGCTTCAGAGGAGAAACATGTCTGCAGGATACGTGTGTTCAAATCTGACAGGAAGGTCTCATTAAAAACAGGAAGAGGAAACTCAGAGACGCCTTACATCTTAGGCTTAGTTACAAGTTAAAGTTCAAAACATATTTTTGTGTTTATTTGTTTTTTGGGGAATTATTTCAGTAAGTAAAAGCCCTTAGCTAAGCATCACATAATGTGTTTTTTTTAATCTAGTGGAAGGATTTTTCAGTCAAAGTTGAAATAACAAAGATATGACGGGTTAAAGTGTGATTTGCATTACCCGCCCTATTGACTCCAATAGATTTCAGTAGACTCAAATAGATTAGTATGTAACTGTCTTCAAATATTATGTGAACATGCCCTTTCCCGTTTTTCAACATTATGTGAAATTCTTCTGTGCTCTGGTGGTTTTAAACTATTTTAAATCCTCACACTAGTGTTCTTAATAAGTTATTAACTAGTAAGCTAATGTTAGCTGAAGGGAACTAAAGTTAAGTTAGCTCGCTAGGTGACATTAGCTTCCAAGCTGGAGAATATCAGAAAATAAATTCATTGAGGTAGTTACAGATTAAATAGTGATTTTGTGCAGCAAATATGTGACTTTGACGGCGGCAAAATGTCCCAGTCGGAAAATAGTAAACAAGTAGAGACTGGAGCTAACAGTGCTAAATGCTGCGTTTACTCAAGAAAACTATATAAATAACCACAGCAGAAATGTCAGATTGGTCGGACCACCGTGTTTAACTATACCTTTAAGTGTTACAGTTACAACTGAAAATAAAAACAGAAATAAACAAGTTTGCCAATTTCACATCTCTGCTAAAACAACTGCCAGCGTACTGTCACAATGATTCGGTCCATTGCAACAAAGCTAGTACTCGCAGTAACCATCTTCAAATAATGTGAACATTACCCGTTCCCCATTTTTTAAAAACGATGTGAAATTCTTTATGTGTTCCGGTGGTTTTAAACTATTTTAATTCCCTCCTCACACTAGTTTCTACATTAGTTAGTAACTACTAAGCTAACGTTAGCTGAAGAGAACTAAAGTTACGTTAGCTTGCTAGGGGACAATAGCTTTCAAGCTAGCAAATAAAGAAAATATATGAATTTACATTAAAGTGATTTTCTGCAGCTAATATGGAGCTTAAACTGCGACAACATGTCACAGTCAGAAAATAAACAGTAGAGACAGAAGCTAACAATGCTAACAAGCACCAGTGGTCCAAAGTTACTAACAACATTTTTCAAGTATTTTAGTATTTTTAGTATTTTATTTTAGTTTTCCTATCATGTCTGTACTCTTGTTTATAATTGTGAAAGAAAGTCTAAATACACAAAGGCATTGTTTCATCAGCTAGCTGGTCAGTTTCGCTATCAGAGACAGAATTAAAGACGTCGGAGACAGAAAGATAAACACCTTCAGTATGACTGTCAGAGTAAAATATCATCACTTGAATACTCTTTTTAAATTGCAACATTTTCCAATGGAGTTTGGCAGGTCTCCCTCCCATACAGACAGAGGGACGTTATCAGGAAGAAGCAGCATGTCACAAATACAAACTGACTGTCACACTGACTTTCACAGCCTGATTACAGCGAGGAAAATGTCCGACTGAATTATCTTTGTACTGTCAACACTGACACTGGCTCTGTAAGTAGGCGTAATAAGCCGACCTGTCAAACTGTCCAATATGTCCTCAGTTAGATAAAGATAACTTTAGCGTCTGTCCTAGAGCAAAAAATAGTTTGCAGGAAAGAATGACAGTTCAGAGTTGAGAGTTTTGTTTGTTAATTTACTTCTTACTTTAAAACGCTCGGGCCCGAACAGTCAGCTGTCACGTCCGGATTTTTCCTCAAGTGCCTCAGTTTGACAGATGGGATTATTTCAGCTATTGAAAATGTTCAAAGCAAACGTCAGGTTTTTGGTGACGGAGACAAAGAGCGAGGGCTAAAGTGATAAAGAAATCCATCAGAGGAAACAGAAACACAAAGATGGATTCTCTGTCCACTGATTCAGGACAGTCTGGGATCAGAACAGAGTGATGTAGACCTGTCACTTTATATATACTGTGGCGACCTGTAGGGAGTCTGTGTCTTGGGCCGATGTGGTTTTGGCTGCATGGCGTGGCGTGTTGTGGCTTGGTGTGGAGTGGCATGTCGTGTTGTAACATGGTGTGGCTTAGTGTGGCATGGTGTAGTGTGGCGTGGTGTGATGTGTTGTGGCCTGGTGTGGTGTGCCTGGTTGTGACATGGTATGGCATGGCTTATTGTGGCGTTGCGTGAAGTAGCGTGGTGTGTTGTCGGGTGGGGTGATGTGGTGTGGTGTGGCATATTGTGGTGTGGTGTGTCAGGGTGTTGTATGGTGTGGTATGTTGTGGCGTAGCAGAGCGTGGCGTGGTGTGGTGTGGTGTGTCAAGGCGTGGCATAGTGTGTCTTGTGATATGGTATGGCGTGGTACAAAGTAGTGTGTTGTGTTGTGTTGTGTTGTGGCTTGGGGTGGTATGGTGTGGCATATTGTGGTGTGTCATGGTGTTGTATGATGTGGCGTGGTATGGCATGGCATGGTGTGTCATGGTGTGGCGTAGTGTGTCATGTTGTGACATGGTGTGGTGTGGTGTGTTGTGGCGTTGTGTGTAGGTGGAAGCTGCAGCAGTGTGTACATGCAAAGTGTGAGTCACAACCTGTCGTCTCAGAGGCCGCCTGCTGCGGCTCCTCCAGGCAGGAAGAGGCTAAATAATCAAATGTGATTGGCTGTCAACACCTGGACATCAGACCCCGCCCCGAGGTAGAGAGACAGCTGGTTAGACTGAGAGACAGAGAGAGAGAGAGAGAGAGAGGGAGAGGGGAATCCTGAGCTCTGAGCCCATTGGTTCAACTGGAGATCTTTAAAAACACAAATATATAATTTTATCAGTAACTTCACTGTTTAACGTTTGTATCAGACTGTTGGGGACTATTTTCAGCTGCGGATTGTGCTCTTGTGAGTATTTGTGTCAGCAGGACGGTATGTGTGGGACACAATAAACTACAGTCTGTCTTCATGGTGATGAAGTGAGAAGATAAGTCAGATACACATGATACTTACATTCGCGGCTGGTTTGAGTCTGAACATGAAGAGAAATATAGAATATCATCTGACGTCTTCTTCAAACTGCTAGCTGCTGTTTTGACTTTTAAAGACAGCGTGAAAACAAAAATAAACTCATCACAACGTTTTTTTTCTTCTTCATGATATAAAGGGAACAAAACCTCTAAACAAAAGCTGTTAAATTCTGCTGACACGATTTCACACATTTTGACAGCAGAACAATTCACTTTCACCGCAGGAGGAATAAACCAAACCAGAGGAAACAATAGATGAATGTAAGGATGATAAAAATAGAACTGCACAGTCTGTGACAATCAGGAGACGCTAAAGCAAAAAACTTGTATTTTTTAATCAGAAAATATGACATTTAATCCACAGTTTTCCCTTTTTATTAAAAGCGTGACTATTTCAACTATTTAAATGTAATTTCTGTTTCAAAATGATGACTTAGTATGACATAAAATAAAATAACAGTGCAGCAGTACAGTACTGCTGCACTGTTATTATTTTATTATAATAGTAATGATTATAATAAACTTTATTGAAAAAGCACCATCCATGTATAAAATGCAACACAAAGTTAACATGTTTTAGTAGCCAGTAATCACAAAATTTATGATTAAACAATAAAAACAAGGAAAATAAAGGAAAATAAAATTGAGATTTAAAAAAAAAAAGCAGGATAAGAAAAGATAAGATTAAACACAATCAGGTAAAAACACCTCGGGAAATAAAACTCTATTAAGTTGTAAGTTTTTATGAAACATTTATAAGTTCTAAGTGTTTATAACTCTTAGTGTATAAACTGTTGTATATAAAATAAATGTCCTTATATTTTATATAGTTATTGTTATTCTAGAGCCCCGTTTCCACCAAACCCTTTCAGTATGGTACCTTTGGAACCAACAGTGACTCTTCAGACATGGTACGTAGACCCTCTGTCTATTTAGTGTTTCCACCACAGACAGTCCTCTTAAATGTGGGCAGGGTTGTTGTCACTCACTGCTCCGTCCAGCATTCACTGTAGCCCCTTTTACACTGCCAGATTTTCCGCAAATGTTGGGCCTTTTTGGAATTAGCGAGCAGCTAGTAGCAAGAGGGAAACACAAACCTGACAGACACTGTAAAGATGAGCAACTGGGGAGACAAGGAATTGCGCGCCCTCCTTGTCCTCGCAAACAAAGAGGCCATTAACCGTCAGATGACGGGGACGGTGAAGAACGGGCCGACTTATGAGAGAATCGCCGAAGGACTGACCAGCCGCAGCTTCCCTCCCACGTCACTGTTTACGTCACACGCTGAGCTACACGTTTTGTTACTTGCTCACGCCCCCCATTGCCCCGAAAAAGGCGCATTCTGTATAAACAAAAGTAGGCAGGCGGCATTTTGCTGCACTCCCCGATTTTGTTTTTATACTGCCAATGCTGAAAAAAGACTGATTGGGCTTTCCTGCAAATTTGCACAATTCCTATCTAAAAAGGGCTTGTATTTCCATGAGCCTCAAAACCAGCCACAACTCAGCCCTGAGCAGAGTGACCGTCCTCTACTGACCAATCAGACTGCAGTGTTCACAGCTCCACCTTTTAGTACCAGATCTGTGTGCTAGGTACCCCAACAGAGGGGGGACCAAACATGGAGACGGTAAGAAACAGTTCTATTTGTACCATCCACAACTTTTGACAGAGTAAGATCCTTTTTGTTTAACCAGATACAGCCTGTTTCCCTGCTATAGTGCTCACTCTCAATACTTGATCAGTTGCAAAAATCGTTGCTCCCATCAGTCACGTAGATACAAGAACATAAAAAAATAGGTTCCAGGTTTAAAAAAAATACCAAACTTACCCTTTTACTACACTCTTGTTCTTGATCACAGTTGTGTGTAAAACTGTCTTTATATCTGCTCACAGCAACATTTCAGTGTGTAAATGTGTTGCTGCTACATTTTAAAGTGGTGCAGCAGTTTGCAGTGTGATGAGGATTAACTGCACAACAGGGGGAAATATAAAATATGTGTGCTGAGAGTTTAATCCCAGAGTAAACAAAGGTTAAAATAACTCCTTGTACATTTTAGCTGATGTGTGAGTCGTTTGTCTCGTCCTCCTCGTTTCCTGCTGGAAAGTCAGCCACTTCTTCTTCGTCTTCTGCAGCTTGTTTCACTCTGCAGCAGAATCTCATTAAAGCGAGCCTCGGGGTAAACCGTTTTAAATCCGCTGTCAAACAGGAAACATGCGTGCTGAGTGTTTTCTACACTCGTGTACAATTTAATTTGTGAGGATTGTTTTTCTGCTGGATGAGCCGGAGGTGGATTTGTTTGCGCTGCTGTCGCGGCAGCTCTCTGTTGCATTAGTCTTTACTGCTGCTGCTGCCTCGTGGGTTAATCTGTGCAGGTCAGTGGGAGCAGAGCAAGGCAGGGTTACAGGTTCAATTCCCTCTGCAGCTCAGGGAGTTAAAATAAGTGGAAAACTCCAGCTTGTGATTTCTGTGGAGCCTCAGAGTGTTTCAATATTAAATGGATAAATAAGAAATTAGAAAAAAAGTAACATGAATTAAAAAGTCCTGGCATGAAGTGTTTTACAAACATTCATGTCCTCCCAAAATGGTGTTACGAATTACAAACATCCATCCATTTTCACCTGCTTATCCGAGGCCGGTTCGCTGGGGCAGCAGGTTGAGCAAAGCACCCCAGACATCCCTCTCCCCAGCAACACTTTCCAGGAGGCACCCAGGAGGATCCTGATCAGATGCTCGAACCACCTCAACTGACCCCTTTTGACACGACGGAGGAGCGGCTCTACTCCAAGCTCCTCACCCTATCTTTAAGGCTGAGCCCAGACACCTTACGGAGGAAACCCATTTCAGCCGCTTGTATCCACGATTTCATTCTTTCGGTCACTACCCAGAGCTCATGACCATAGGTGAGGGTTGGGACGTAGATGGACCTGTAAATTAAAGAGCTTTGCCCTCTGACTCAGCTCCCTCTTCGCCACAGCGGTCCAGCACAGCACCCGAAATACTTGAACTCTCTCGCTTGAGGCAGTAACTCTCTCCCAACCCGGACCAGTTTCGAGCAGAGAACCATGGCCTCAGATTTGGAAGTGCCGAGTCTCATCCCGATCGCTTCACACTCGGCTACAAACCGCCCCAGCAGAGATGCAATTCTGCAAACACACTTTTGTTAAACAATCCAATATCTGTGATGAACTCCAAAAAAAAGATGAGGTAATGTTTAACAAGAGGTTGTGTTTGTGTTCGGGACCAAGCAGTGAGGCAGCAAGGACACAGGAGTTGTTAACAAAATCATGGGGTTTTATTTACCCAAAAATACCAAATAATACACGAGGGGCAACCAAAATGGACGGCAACTACAACTTAACACAAGGCAAAACTAACTACACCCAAATCCCCCCCATGATATGACAGTGCATGGTTTGGTCCAATGAGTTGGCTCCAGGATTTCAGAGTCATCAGACCTCAGCCACGCCTCGTGCTCCACCAGGAAGTGACCTCCCCACCGTAACTCAAAGACAAAGAAACAGATAATTAAAATCAAATTATTTGCCTGTGTAACCCTGCAATGCTAGAATGTGAACACTTAAATTAAACAATGTCACGCTGAAAGCAAATAAGCAGAATCCAAATCAAGCTGTGTGATGTGAATTCTTCAGGTATGGTTGCTCATAAATAAAAGTAACCAGTGTAGATAACAAACTAATGCATTTAAAGAGTCTTAATCGGGGACACATTACCGTGTATGGCTGTGACCATCACAGTTTGGGTGATTTATTGGTGTATTGATCGGCTCTGATCTGACCTTTGACCTCTGACCGCGGCCTGTGTTGTGACTCTCTCTCAGGTTTCTACATGTACATCGAGACGTCGAGGCCGAGGCTGGAGGGAGACAAGGCTCGGTTGCTGACTCCCACCTTCAACATGAACTCCAAGACCTCCTCGTCCACGTCCGCCGTCACCAACAACCCCACCTACTGCTTCGCCTTCTACTACCACATGTACGGCAAACACATCGGTAAGTCTGCAGCAGCGCCTCAGCTCCAGGATGTAACGTAATAGTAACGGTGATAATAAAGAGCCAACCATGTTGGTTTGTGTCTGCAGGAGCTCTGAACGTCTTTCTGCGTCAGAAAGGTCAGACGGTGACGGACACCTCTGTCTGGAGTCTGAGCGGTAACCAAGGGGACCGGTGGCGGCAAGCCAAGGTCAACATCCACCCAACCGCAGCCTTCCAGGTGCAAACCACACCCACTTTATTTTAGCTCTTGAGGACACCTGGATGAATCCTCACCTGGAAACCAGACGAATCTGCAGCTAATGTTTTATTTGCTCTGACAGATGCGTCTGGTTCTTCTTCACTTTGGACAGACTTCCAGCAGCCTGAGATGTGCTGAGCCAATCACAGCCGTTTATTTAATATGAGGCGTTTAAAAATCAGCCAAACCGGCTGCAGCTGAAGTGGAACTTTATGTTGAAGCCGATATCGCGTCAGTAGTGAACCAATTTGAAGACGTATTTTTCCTAAAAGAAGAACTGCACTTAAAGCTTTCCTTGAGAAGAAACGTGTCGTACTGACAGAATTTGGAAAAAGTTTTACATACGGCTCATCTGTGCACGCTGTAGTCCGCTTACCAGGGTTCGTACTGTCATGACAAACCAAGTTGTGAAATTTGAAAAACTGCTATTTCCAGGCCTGGAGAAGTTTTGGAAAAAATAAATAAATCCAGAAAGTTTTGGAAAAGTCATCAAAATTTGCTTCACACATACCTGTATAATGGAGTATATAATGTATATACAGTGTCGATGTGTCTCCTCCTAAAACCACAGATGATCATTTTCTGTACAAACAGCCGTGCGTTTCTGAGCTTCTCGTCTTCTTCTGTGGTAGATGGTGATGGAGGGGGTCCGAGGTGCCGGTATCGAGGGAGATATCGCCATTGATGATGTCACCATTGAGGAGGGCGAATGTAAAGATCCTCCCCCCAACAGTGAGTACATTTCCCTCCTTGTTACTGTAGCAGAAGTTTTATTTAAGTGTTAAGTTCACACTTTGAAAAACAACGTCTTAAAATAATACATCTTTAACTTATCCCTGAAGACGAACAATTTCACTTAAATTGAGGTGTTGATCTGAAACTCAGAGGTCCCTTAACTTAAAACCTCTTAAAACACTTTAATTTCAGATTTTAAGGGCTACACTGCTTTCCCCTTGATTTACTTAATTTAAAGCATTAATTTACGGTGTTATAAAGATTTGTATTTTGGTTTCTGATTACAAAACATCTCGTCAAAAGAAAATGTCAAATAACGTCCTTATTGTTTTAAAAAACTTTTCTCTCTGTCTTTCCCCCCCACACAGATCTAAGGTCGCTTGCCCCGCCCTCTTCGCCACATATATGGCAGCTGTGCGTCACTCTGAGTCTGGCTCTGATTGGCCAGCAGAGGTGACCCCCCCTCTCTACAGGACGTCACTACCTTTAACTCTTCTACATCCCTCACCTCCCCATCCAATCCCATCATCCCCCTCCATTAACCCCCCCCCAACTACCAAAGATGTGGTCAGAGCTACAGAGGGACTTCCTGCCAAGATGGCTGACACAGAAGGTCAAGAGATCACCTGGAGAAGTGAGGACTTAAAGGGCCAGTCCAACATTTTAGTGAACCTGCTCTCTGTCAGATCAGTTTCATCTGAGCCCAGTACAGAGATGGTTTAGCATCAGGCTTAATACTAACATCCTGACTACAGACACTAAACACATTCATCTGAACAATTAGCTCTCACACAGACAAAAAAATAAAGTTAATCCCCAAAATGTTAAACTATTAACTATGAATTCAGTAATTTGACATTTTGACATTGATTAGTTGACATAAATTTGATCATTTTGTTGTTAAAATTCATAGTGGCATGGTTAAATCATCATGGTGACACAATTTATCATTATTTTGACTTTGAACGTTGGTGTTTTGTGCTAACTTTGTGCTAAGCTAACAACATCTTGACTCCAGTCGCTTATTATATCTATCTTAACATTAAAAAAGGTTATATTTTTGATTTCCTTTCATAATCCTTTCCTTCATAATTATCTCATAATTTTGGCTTAATTTTGACTCAGAAAGTCGTAGTTTCATGCTAACTTTGTGCTTAGCTAACAAAGTCCTGGCTCCAGACGCTTATTACTTACATTACATCTTTACATTATCAAAAGTTATGTTTTTGACTTTCTTTCATAATTTGGACTTCTTATCTCATATTTTGGCTTACTTTTTCGTCATTTTGACTCAGAAAGTCATAGTTTTATGCTAACTTTGTGCTAAGGTAACAACATCCTGATTCCAGATGCTTATCATATCTATCTTAACACTAAAAAAAGTTGTATTTTGACTTCCTTTCATAACTCAGAAGTCTTACCTTATAATTTTGGCTTAATTTTTCCTAATTTTGACTCAGAAAGTCGTAGTTTTATGCTAACTTTGTGCTAAGGTAACAACATCCTGATTCCAGACGCTTATCATATCTATCTTAACATTAGAAAAGGTTATATTTTTGAAGTTCTTCATAATTCTGATCTCTTATCTCATAATTTTGGCTCACTTTTTCCCCATTTTGACTCGGGAAAGTCGTAGTTTCATGCTAATTTTGTGCTAACAACATCCTGATTCCAGATGCTTATCATATCTATCTTAACATTTATTTTTTTTTTAAAAATGTATTTTTGACTTTTTTTCATAATTCAGAAGTCTTACCTCATAATTTTGGTTATTTTTTCCTAATTTGGATTTGGAAAGTCGTAGTTTTATGCTAACTTTGTGCTAAGCTAACAACATCTTGACTCCACACGTTTATTACATCCATTTTAACATAAAAAAAGTTAGATTTTTGACTTCCTTTCATAATTTGGACTTCTTATCTCATAATTTTGGCTTAATTTTGACTGGGAAAGTCGTAGTTTTATGCTTACTTTGTGCTTAGCTAACAAAGTCCTGACTCCAGATACTAAACATCCATCTGAACATCTCACTGTTACACAGAGGATTACGTTACCCATCAAAATATTAAACTATTAACCTTAAATTCAGTCATTTGAAAAACTAATATAATAAAGTTGACATAAATTTGACTTTCTTTAATAACTTTGATTTTTAAGTCATAATTTTGGCATGGACAGTCATCATTGTGACTCAACAGAGAATAAAGTTAATCTAAAGTTGGTCAGTGAGACCAGATTACTTATATTTAGTTTTCTTTTTTATATATATATTGTTTATGAAGTAGTTTTTGAGAAACATAAACATTTCTATCAGCATAAACAAAAATAGGAACATGTAGACCTGTGTAATACTCGTACACAGGCTTGTGCATGTCTTTGTTTAGTTTTCGTCTTGTTTTCGTCTTGCAGTTGATATATTTTGTAATTTTCGTTGATGGAATTCACATTAGTTACACAGAAGCTGTGGAGGTTTTAAGGATCAGTTCGCTTACAGTTTGTCATGTTGGCGTCATATTACAACAACCTGCAAACATCTCATCCACGCTGGAAAACTTTATTCTGTCATTGTTTTCATGAAGGTAGCTCGACAGTTTTGTTGGAAGATCCAGTCCCTGTTTTAATGAGATAAAACTTAATTAATCTCGAGGGAAATTACTAGACAGAAGTCGCAATAGAAAGAGTGCCAATATGATAAGTCTAAGATAACAAAAAGGTGCAAATCCCAAATATATACAATACTCTACAAAGCTCTGATTGGTTGACCATTTTTCCAAACTGAATCACTGAGGGCAGTCTACAAATTATGTGTTTACACAGCAGAGACATCATCTTTCTAACTGGAGAAATCTGGTTTCTGTGATCTCTCATTCCCATTACAGAACCCAAGTTTCTCAGATTACTGCAGAAAGTTTACAGAACAGATGGTTATGACTGTTAAAATAAAGGCACTAAGTATTTAGTGAAAGGTAGACACACATCCACCAGTGTTTTTAATAACAGCGGGCCTCATGCAGCAACATCTCTGAAATTTCTCTTAAATATCTGACAAAAGAACAAATCAGAGAGGTCAACTCCAGATGCACCAGACGTTCTTTACCATCTACGCACCTAATGGGTTGGGGTGACCAGACCATCCCATTTCGTTGGAGACCGTTCATATTTTTTTGTGCTGCAGAATGAACTTGTTGACTGTAAAAACAAGAACTTTCTCTTATCTCGGTAATGCCTGGTACACACTACACAATAACAGCCAACTTAGCCCGACCCAGCGTCATTCAGTGTCGGCTCGGAACGTGAACAAGGAGTGTCGGAAATGCTAATCCATCGTTTAGTCTCATGTAGTGTGTCATAGTAGACGACAACCGACGCCATGTCTGGGACGCCTCACGACATTCCGACAGAAAGTTTAGCATGTTTGTATTTCTTTTTGTCGTTCACGATTTCTACCGTCATAGTCATCACTTTGACCAGTAGGAACACAGAACGATCTGCTACCATAGACAACTGTACGACAACAACAGCCCAGGCTGTTGGAGAAAATTTGTCCACATATCGTTCGCTGCATGAGGCCCAGCGTCCTCTGAACACCAGCTCTTTGGTGTTTCCTCTTCATCAGTTTTCTCCAGTGAACCTCGGTGACCTTTTGGTTTCAGCTCGGCGCCACAAAGCACAGAAAAATGGGCGCTTCAAAAAATAGGAAATAACAGCTTGAATGTCAACTTTCCTGACCTCCCCTCTCTGTCCCACCATCCCCACTCATAACCCTCCCCTCCCCCCTCCCCCCTCCCCCCTCCGCACTCCCCCTCCACAGATCAACAGTACTGTACCGAGAGCTGGACGGACACGCCGCAGTCTCTCTGTAACTTTTTACAGCAGGCGGACCGACAGTTAAAAAATACTTTTAGATGTTATTTTGACATCTGTCTGCGGCGGACCGAGGAGGAGAGTTCACCCTCTGCCATGACATCAAGTGCCTTCAGACTCACAGAGGAAAAGATCGCCAGGCCGAGGACTGCTGTCGTCATGGCAACAAAAACAAAAAGAAATCAAAGCGTCGGACATCGTTATGTCTTAATGGTCAAGGAGAAAATAACAAAAATATTTCCTGGTCTGATTATGCAGAGAATTAGTTTCTTACTTTTTTGTTGTTGTTGTTTTTGAGATGAAAATGTTTATGATGACGAGGATTCTGGGAAAAAGGAAGCCATGTCGCATGGCGTTAAGAAAAAGACACAACAGAGATGCCATGGACAGAAAGTAGACTCTGGATGCAGACAGGAAGCTCCTTTGATTAACAATTTTAAGAACAAAATGCAATCATGATCTGAGGATCTGTGACTGGATTTTTCAAAACAAAAGACCTCCTGTTCGGACGACTTTCAGCCCTAAGCCAATGGGATTCAAGCATTTGGTCTCCGAGAACTATTTTAGTATTTCAAAATAAGAGTTTTCAGAAGGAGGCAGAGACTTTGACTCTACCTGAGATCATCAGTTACCTTAAAACACAACAACAGCTGGAGCTTTTGGAAAAAAAGGAAGAAAAATGTATTGTAAAATCAAATCTTATATTGTTCCTATGATATTATAACGATGGTGGGAAAATCTTTACACGTTTCATCTCCTCTCATCTCTTTTGTTGGTTTTAAATGAGGGTGGGATCTTTAGTTCAGGTTTATTTATTTTGTTTCTTTCTTTTGTGGAAAAACTCCAAGGGAAAATTTAGAAGAATAAAAATCCAGGTGTAATGTTTTTGTTTTAAGATTTTAGGGAGTTGATGTTTTGAGATTTGATAAACGTCCTGCTGAGAAAACATTTCTACTTAAAACAAAACTTCACGCTGACGATTCATTAAAAAAAAAAGCACAAAAAGACAAATGTTTTTAGTTAAACAGAGTCGACACACGAGAAAAACATCTGTACACACATGTACAGAAACATAGATTCATCAGCTCTGCATGTTTATATGGAAGCCCATTTCTGCCAAGACAAGAAAAAATGGATAAAAGTTAAGATGATAGAAATTTAAATACTCATTGTAAGCAGTCATGTATGAAAAAGTCATACATTTGACTCGCTTTCACATAATTTTGACTTCCTTTAATAATTTTGGGAATCACCAAAGGCCCCCTGATACGATGTTATCGCAATGCGACGCTGCGATACGATAAAATAATATTGTGAATTTAGATGTTTTGCAATATGCTGAGCATTGTAATAACATCAGTTGCAATACATTGCAATGTATTACCTTTTTTCAATTTTAAACTACTATTACTCACGTAATTCATTTTTATTGCAGCAACATGTATCTAGTGGACTGAAAAAGCAATTGCTTTTATTATTCTAGTAGGCCACTAAAAGTTTAATTTGCATTAACAATATTAATAATAATAATAATTAATATAATAACATATCAGTACCATATTACCACATCAAATATCATGATACTATACTGTATTGATTTTTCTCCCACCCTTAATAATTGACCTTTCGCTAAGCCCCACCCCTTTGTGATGATCTGACAAGCTGGTTGAATATCAGCAAAGTTTCCCTGCTTCCCTTCACTAGATCCTGTACAGCAGGGTCGGTCTTTTTTCACTGTTATAATCATTAAAAAGCAAAAGCAGCATGTGTATACATTCAGTAGGCTATATCTTCAGCAGCCAGCTAGCTAGCTAACCCTCGTAAAGTCGTAGTTTCAATTTGATTTTATGTTTTGGATTTAAAAAGATTTTAAAAATCCCAAAATGAAATTTCTGTCACATCACTTTGAGTTTACTTATAATCGCTAAAAGTAACAACTTTTATATTTTTTGACAGTTTTTATGTTTTTAGTAACTTCTAACATTTTATTTATTTTTTGTATTTTTTGGCAGAAATGGGCCTCCGTACATCAGCTCGTTTACATGCTGTCACAGAAGAACCACAAGACTGCCATTTTGATTCACGTGGTTTCAAAACATCTGTGAGAAAATGATTTTAACTTGAAAATACATTTAAAGACACAGTGAAACAGCTGCATGAACATCTTTAGGTTCCTCAATGTGACACCTTTCTGAGTGAAACAGAAAATGTGGGTGGGGTATTGTTTTTAGGATCTGATTACATTTAAATTGAGTTTATTTAATAGAGTTAAAAGTGGACTTAACGTAGTGTGTACGGAGTCTCTGGAGAACAACAGGGATTTGGAGCCGTGACCCATAAAATAAAGTTAAGAGTGGATTTATATGATTCACTGTGTCTTTAAAAATGTCTTTATTAAGGAAAAAATCATGCTTTTATTGGACATACATGGTTTTCACTACAGAATAATGATAAATCATTACTTAAAAAGCCTAATTTCCATCTCAGCAACTGTTACACACTCACATTAAACTTTGATGAGAAGTCATTCAGTAGAGGATCCATTAGATAACTCATACCCTCTGATAAATATCATTTATTTTTAATGTTTGTTGATTTTTTTCCCCCCTGTGGCGACTCTTTTCCTCTCAGCGTGTTTTTCCACTGCAGCTAATAATCAGATTTTTATTAAAGCTCCTCTGGGTATCAGTTTATCCTCCACTGCATCATTATCACATTAACTCTGTTCATGTGGAATCTCTGGAGACGATTGGTCGCCTCTGATAAACACCAGTGGGTTTACTTATTATTCATTTATATTTGCAAATGTTTTAAAAGTGTCCATATTACACACTGTACATCGGTGATTACAGCCACGGAAATGGATAGAAAATAATACTTAAATGTGGGTTTTTTCTGTCCTGCTGATACAATAATACTCCTTTGTAAGACTGTGTAGACAGATTTGTATGGAAGCCTTGTATGAAATCTCATTGTCAGTCAAATTTATGAGACACAAATTAAAATGAAGTCAGAATTTATTTATTTTTTAATTTACTCCCATAATTTTGATTTACTATAAGTATTTCTGCATATTTTTTTCTCTTTTTTTCCATTTTTTATGCCAACAAAGAAGTCATTGTTTAAAAACACAAAGGTTTGTCATAGTCATTTATAGTATAGACATTAGACATTATTTATAGACAGTAAATAAAAACTCTGACAGTGGTCTTAAGCTACAGAAGCTATTGCAACAGAGATTAGACTTTAAATATAAACTTCACACTAAAAATTCAACCTCAAAAAATGTGAAAAAGTAAAATATACTATAACACATGATGTAGAAAAGGGATTGAGTTTGAACACATTTATTGTCTCCCCAGATTAAAACACCACATTTCCCAGAAGCCCTCTTGCCTAACAACTCTAATGCTGCTAAAGCCGCATTTTTAAAAATTAACTTTGTGTGAATGTTAAATTAAAAACTACGGCTCTGATAACGTAAAAAACAAATCATCTGTGTTTACAGTAAGAGTTAGAATTTGTCAGATGTTAATATTTTGAAACAGCTGAATCACTCAGGGTCCCACTGGCAAATAAAACTCAGCTTTGTTTTCTGATGAGTTAATCTTCACCTAAATAATCCTTCCATGTGATAGAAGTCATCTCAGCAGGTCAAAGCTTCTCTTGTCTCTGCAGTGGAAAAACATGACCTCAGTTATTCCCCTGGGGGGTTCGATCCCTGTGTTTGTATTCTGATTTTTTGGGGGGGAGGGGGGACATAAAATAAAAGTTTAAAAAAAAAAACAGCCACCAACACGACTCTGTGGACGTGTGAAGAAAGATATTTTTATAACTGTGATTATTCTCTGCAATAGATTCTCAGATCAGTTGGACTGACTGACGGTTACACTGCATTCTGGTTATTATTATTATTATTATTATTATTATTATTATTACTATTATCATTATTATTATTATATTAATAAATACACTCCAAATGTACATTTTAACGGTTTTCTGTCATGGCATCATCGTGCTGCATTATGTGTATCAATGTGCGTGGTTGTGTTCATTAACTTGTGGGGACACAAACATTTAGACTTTTCATAGATAGCCCTGACTGTAGATAGCCTTTGTGGGGACTCTGCTTGTAAATGGTCCTTGTGAGGACTCTGCCTGTTGATAGTCTTTATGGGGACTCTGCTTGAAGGTAGTCTTTATAGGGACTCAGCGTGTGACGACTCTGCTTTTAGATTGTCCTTGTGGGGACGCTGCTTGTAGATGGTCTTTGTGGGGACGCTGTTTGAAGATGGTGCTTCTCCTCAGAAATGAGAAACACAAGTGTGTATGTTTACAGGTATCCATCAAAAACCTGTTTACACACTGACATTGCGAGGACTCTGCTCCCATCAAGTATGAATATCTTTAGGTTTAGTCTACTACTACTATTATGTCTTCAGGTTTTATGTCCATCTGTACGTCTGTCCGTCCCATGTCTGGCTCCTTGCTCAGCCTGCTGCCCTCGTGACCTGGCCCCAGGTAAGCAGATGAAAATGGATTGTCATAGTTCAAAGGTCAAGGTCACTGTGACCCCGTCTGTCCCATTCTTGTGAATGAGCCATCTGTAAAACACCTTGAGGGGATTTTTTCAAATTTGGCATGAACATCCGCTTGGATTCAAGAACAAATAGTGGAACAAATAATACATGTTTTTGGCCATAGCTCAAGGTTTAGTCTACTTATTATGACAAAACTTAACACAGATGTCTAAAATGATAAAGGTATTAAAGATATTAAGAGGAATATTGGATTTCTCTGGAATGCTAACTTTTTAGCACATTAGCTAACGTTAGCTTCCATAGAAAAACAAACAAGTGTGGTCCTCCTTTGTAAGATTGGCTTCCTGTGACATCATCCATCCACTGAGTGAGAGCATACGGGTCGGCCAGTCTGGTCCCGTTGGTCAGTGTTTACTTATTCCAGTAACACTGGCGGTCCCGGAGAGTGAGTGACCTGACATGGTGCGTTGGTAAATTCAGTCTGACGCTCTACACTAAAATGAGAGCCCTGTTGGTGGAAGAAACGCAGCGTTATATTTCTACATGAATGAACCAACGGTTAAGTTAATCACACATTCACTCCGCTCGGCGCTCTGCTGCTCCGTCT